AAAGGTAGTTGAACATCTTTGGGAAAATGTTGACCTAAAGAAGAGATGACCTTTTAAAAAAATGAGGGCTGGGGGGTTTCCGGCCCGGTGGTGCACTGGAGAGTGCGCCGCTTGGGAACGCAGCGGCGCTCCCGCCGAGGGTTTGGATCCCATGTGGAGACCGGTTCCCGCTCACTGGCTGAGCGCGGTGCGGGCCCAACACCGAGGGTTGCGATCCCGTTGCTGTTCCCTGGTACGGGTGTGACACCGAGGGTTGCGATCCCGTTACCGGTCAGTAAAAAAGATAAAAAGGAAAAAAAAAAAAAAAGAGGCCTTGAACACTTGAATCTATTCTTAGGGCTAGGTAACCATGTAGAACTCTGGAGAAACAATATAAACTACAGAAAATACTATTACTGGTAACAAATTAGAATCTGACACACATATATAACATGGATAGCACTTTTTAAAAGGACAGATATCTGTGTGCTCATGTGTACATTACTCATTTTTATTTGAAAGTACAAAAATCTCAGTTATTACAAGGTGCTTGAGAATGTCAATTGTGCTTGACATTATGCAACAAAATATGCTTTCTAAAACGGAATCAACTTAACTTATGAATTACCTTATTAACTTACTATTAATTATGAATTATCAACTTAACATGATGAATTTATTCTAAATATGTGTGCAGACATAAAACATAACTTATAAATCAAAGGTTTGCTGACCATAATTAGAAGTTAACTAGAGAAATGGCATTTTAGAATAATTTTTAACAAATAAGCGTATTACACATTTGTATATTAAGGCATAAATAAATTTTTTTATTATTAAAGGAGTCATATAAAAACCCTCCGGCCACTATTGGCCTCATCTTACATCAAACAAATATATAAAAAGTGCTCACTCAACTTTAACATAAAACATTTAAAAGTTACATTTGTTTCTTTTTTCATCTATCAAACTGATAGAGATAAAGAATCATAATACTTAGATTTCCCAGCATGTGAGGAAAAGAGCACTCTTATACAGGTGGGTGTATAAACTGCTGCACTTTTTCATGTGCACCATGTATTTAAAACCTTGAACATGTTCTTTGACTTGGTAAGACTATGAAGGATTTTACAAAGATGTTTAATGTAGTTTTGCTTATAATGGCAAAAAATTCAAAACAACCTAATATCCAAACTAGGGGCATGATTAAATCAATCAGAAAACATAATGGCGATGCTAACTATATTATTTATATACATATAATAACATAGTATATGGGGTGTGGAAAATGTGCTCAATATGTTAAGAGGAAAAAAGCCAATTGTGAAATAGATTCTGCCTCACACAATCTATTGTGAAATAGATTCTGCTCCTTTTGGCTTATGTGTATGTTCAAGTGTTGCTAAAACTATCTTAACACAATTATTAAGTACCCCAAAATTTTTTTAATCATATAATTTCTCCCTTTCCTTCTCTCCTTTCCCCTCTCCTACTAGTTTACTTATTATACAAATCACATTAACCAATTAATTCATCCTGGTTTAAACAGTTATGCATGAGTTGGCAAATTCTACATAATTTCTGCTGTTTAATATTATTTCCGTCTTATTTATTTTAAAGGCTTTATAATATAAAATCAATTATTATAAAACCTTTTTAGAGATAAAGAAGCCATAAACAATTGGAAAAAAAGAGAACAGTTTTAATTTGAATAGGAACTATTGGCTCTTTCTAAACAAGGAAATCATCTGTTATAAAAGGGAAAAAAAGACAATCATAGTATTTAAATAAGGAAGTTAAAACATTTTTTAAATGAAATTCTTTGCAAAAAGGGTTTTAAGAAGTTTAAGCTTTGTAAACAAAATATATGCAGATAAGTAATTACAGTGAATATGTTCAAGTACAATAAAGTTTTAAGTAGTTAAGTCCCTAAATTATTTAGCTATTGTGGCTCACAACTACTTTCAAACGGTGCATAGGCCCAGGGCTAATACTTAACCAGTAGTTTTCAATGTGAATCGATTCTGTCCTCTAGAGGACACTTGGCAACGTCTGGAGATACTTTGCTTGTTACATTTGGGGAGGTATTACTGGTAGCTAAGTGGGTAAAGGCCATGGATGTTGCTAAACATCCCACAATTCACAGGACATCTCCCCACAACAAAGAATCATGCAGCCCAAAATGTCAACAGTGCCAAGGTTGAGAAATCCTGTACTGGATGATTAGAATACGATGGAATTATCTACTGTTCTCATGTTTAAATTAGCACCAAAAGTGAGAGTAGGAAAAGCCAGATCTCCCAGGCTTACAGATTGAGTTCTGAAAACTGCAAATCTTCCAAGTACACCACTGTCATCCTCAGCTGATTCCGGAGAAGCACCTCATTCTGCGGTTGACATGCACTTAATCCCCAGTGAATCTGAGTATGTTTTAAGTGGCAGATGTACAAGAAGAAACTGCCAACTTTCCTGGACTCACAGTGGTCTTAGATCTTGTGACAAGTTCTACCAAGATAAATACAACTATTATGTATTTAGACAGTTTTTAATTACTTCACATCTCTAATTTCTAGTATCTAAAATTTAATAAGAATTGCTGTGGGGAAAAACACCCACCAAAAACAAAGGAGATAAAGAGAGACTATGCAGGGTTTTCATCACTGCCTTCCCTGCCCTCTTCTCCCCATTTTCTTACTTGGTGAACTATTCATTGCATGATGGAGTTAAGCAACCCATAGAGCACATCGTAAAGGAAGAAGGAGTGATTTGGTAGAGTTAATTTCTTTGTAGTAATATAACAAAAAGGAGATAGCAAACCTTAAAAAAAAAAAGTATTGGGAACAATAGAGAGGAATAATGAAACATTAACCTAGGAAGGAAGACATTGCTAGGGTGACCTCACCCTGCTGCCAAAACTCCAATAGATACTTGGATCCTTATACAGAAAGGCAAGTAGAAACGTTAAGTTTGATGTAGCAAGGGAATCTAGAAATTATTATTAGAGTGAGAAAAGCACTGCATGCCACTTCTTAGCTCCCCATTAAAGATTCTGTCAAGCCTTAAATCCTGAAGAATTTCATACAGTGGAAATGAAAATGAGTTTATTTCTTACTGTGCACTTAGAGGTCTAGATAGAAATTAACTATAGTACTGTCCCATCTTTGTCCTCTTATACTAAAATGTGGGCTCCTTTAGAGCAGGTAGACATGCAAATACATAAAGAAACAATTACAACAAAATTTTTTAACATTTACACGAAAAAACCCTTTTGTTATTAACACAGTGTGATATAGTGCTTCCAAGAAAATCTTTGATTAATAATTAGTCAAAGAAAAAAAAATAAGTATTACAGGTTTTTTGCTACCCAAAGACAGATAAGTCACGGACACTATAAAAATACAATACAGTAGAATTTAATAAGTGACCTACTTCAAAAAGCTCACAAAAACCTCATGTACAAGCATTCAAAGAGAAGTACTATTTCAGTATTAAGGATTTCTTCTGTGTTAAAGAATGACAGTAAAATAATTACATGTGTGGGATCGCTACAATTATTCTACACAGGCCCATTATAAATAATAAAATTGAAAACAAGCCCTATTTTCTTATATTATAAACAAAACATTTTCCCAGAGAAAATGTGATATATATGATACGTAATTTTTCTGATAGATGACGAAAGTCCACACTACGCACAATGTGGCTGAAAGTTTCAGGGCTTTGTTTTCCTCACCTATAAAATCAGGAATCGGTAAAATCCTAAGGAACTGTTCAGCTGTGAAATTTCTAATTCTAGGACCCCAATTTTAACGGGCCTTCAGAAATGTATGTAGTTTGCTGAAACATTTTTAAATAATAACAAAAGACACTTTTTTTTCTCTCCAGTATCCTTAGTTTAAAACTTCAGTGAGATACTGTGGGGGTTGTAGGCATAGGTAAAGACTATATCACTTAAATGCAAAACAAATTATGTTTAGTATTCATGTTAATGTGGATTTGTGTCTAAGACAGAGAAAAGCTATTAGCAAATTCATTAATAAAAATCTTATTATTCTGCACATTAAACTATAATTTTTTAAAATGAGACAACTCTCTTGATGAGAATTATCATTCTGGCAAATTATCAGCCAGACCGTGTGCCCTTGCTCAGAATCTAATTTTGTTTCATTGAGAATTCATGCCAAGGAAGCTTGCTGAGTGTATTTGTTCTTGGCAGGTGTGTTAAGTCAAAAGGTCTACCCAGATGATGATGTTTGATGACCAGTTAGGAAAAGGCAAAATGTGTGGGTTTAACAATTTTGAAAACTGATTGTAACACTTTTGAAAGACATTTTTATTCTACGTATACAAAAGGAAAACACTTGTTTTTTTTTCTAAAAAGAGTATTTCCAAAATATTTTTACTATAAGGACATCCTCAATGATGTACTGATGAAGAATTTCTATGCCACTATCCCTGCTATCCTTGACTGTCACATAACCAATAAAATATCTTCGTTGGTAATTTAAAAATATAAAACTCTCTAGAGATATATGGCCCCTCCAACCAGGAGATCACACGCCACATTTCTCATGCTGCTGAGTCACAGATACTCCCTCCATAGGGCCAAAGAATCTTTCGTTCCCTAGAATTATAAGCACTTTAGAAATTGCAATCATGCTGCTTTACTGCACTTAGAGCGGTTTGGATCTGCTCCATGGTATTCCATTATTCTCAACAGAAGAGCACTTCCGAATACCGGCACTTGAGAATGTCTAAATCTTCTTTCATTTAAAAATCAACTGGGTACAGAGTTAGGAAAGTGGTTCAGCACACAGTGCCTATGATGACCTCATCTTTGCTTTATTAAAACCACCCTTAAGCAAAAAGCCACTCAAATAATAACTTTCTTGAAATTCTAAAATCTACAAATAAGAGAAAGATCTTATTCCAGAATAAAACTAAGTATTTTAAGACAAAGAATATCAAAATGTGATTAGAATCAAATTCACCAACAGACTTTCCATTTTAGCCAAACTCACCTCTCCCGAGGAACAGCAAACCAGTACTCGGGCTGCTTTCTTCGTTTGCCGTACTGCTGGACCATGGCTGCAGTGTGAGTGGCAAAGGACTTCCTCATTGGTTTTCCCACTTTGATGCACAGAAACATGGGTGGGGTCTTGCTTTTCTCTTCTTTTGAAGGAAGTATATCTGAATCACACATGAAAAAAACCTCCCTTAATATTGACAATAAACAGGTGACAATAAAACTTTCCAACTTAGAAAGAATAGTGTCTAGTCCTCTCTTTGTCAAAACATATGGCAGAAACATCAGACAACTACATTATATTAAGACTAATGAATATTTCAGAACTTCCTCAGCACAAAAGGGAAAAACCTGGGATGTTTCAGGTTGGACTACATCATGAGATGATACATACCAGAAATAAGCATAAAAACCAATACAATAGCAAAAAACGAAGAAGTGAGACAATCCACAAGAATACATATTAATGAACGGTACTAAGGACTCAATTACACCATAATACAATTCCGTTTAGAACTGAAATCTCTTTAAAAACATTTTAAACTCCTTGAGGTTTTTAGAAATTCAAGGGGAAAAGGGAAAGTTACTTAAAAGATTTTTTAAAAAGTAAACTACTTTTGAAGCAGAAATCTGGAAATCTATATCATGGTTCGAGTTCCAGAACAGATATCATATCTTGCTAATTTTTTTTCCCAATTATTAATGCTATCAACAAGAATACACTCTGAGAAAACCCTGCTCTCAAATAATTGTACTACTTTTGCTATTACATTGCAAGTTTTAGAAAGGCAATTATGCAGCAGAATATAAAGACATTAAAGGAAAACAGCTTACCTTCAATAGGTACCTGAATTCTCTTTAATAGCCATAACTGAATTTCAGATTTATTATCCATTTGTGCACCCTGACAGCTGTTGTCCACAGTATATTCCAAAGAAGAGTCTAGAGACTCTTTGGTCATATTTCCTTCTGTAGAAGAGTCTAGTTTCAGTGCAAGGGACTCTCTTTCCTTCACCCAGGTTTTATCTGTCTTGTTATTGCCCTCAGTTGGGGGGTCACCTGCCTGGGGAAGAGAACTACTAAGGGTGATGTCTATTCCCATTGATTCAATATTTTTACCATCACTTAATTGTGCCTTTTGCAAATTTTCAGGTAACCGTGACCCTTCTTTATTCTTATTTAGGTAATATTCAATAAGTTTAACTTTATCAAGATCTTCATGTATGTTCAATGTGTTTTCCACCTGGCTCTCTGGAGAACCAGACTGCTTGTCCACTTCTGGCATAATATCTTGCTTCTCACAAGTTTCTAGATCTAGGGCCCCCTTCAGTTCAGCATCACTCTCTGTTCCTGGAAAGTTCAGGGCTGACTGCACCTGCATTTCTACAGCAGAACTGGTTATTTGTGACTCAGCCTTCTTTTGCTCCTCTGGGTCAAGAGAAAGGCACTCCTTCGAGGTGTCTCTTTTGTCCATTCCACTATCAGTTTGAGAAGAAAGGTCTTCCAAGTCAACAAAGTCATCATCTTCCCCTAAAAGGGAGTTTTCTTTGGCTGTAGATTCAAATGCAGAGTGAGTGTCAGAAGGTTCCCTGCTGAGCTTAGTCACTGTGGGAGATCCACTGGTTGTCTCCCTAGAGGATTCCAGTTTCTTTAATTTTTCTGACACAGAGCTGCTTGAGGGCTTTGTATGTGTGTATTCTGTTGACTTCTCCAAAGGTCCTGTTGATTTGGAATCCGAAGTAATGGTTTTCTCTCCATTCTGCTGACGTTTTTCCTTGTTGATGGATTTGAATTTACTGAATGGGTTGATATCCTTTTCTGAAGCCAGGTCTTCCCATTCTCCAGGCCTGTACAGAGGACAAAGATCCTGAGGTAGGTCACTGTTGGGGAAAAATGGTGGGTGCACATGGAATGTTAAAAATAAAACCAAAACCAAAATGGAGGAAAGGCAAAAAAAAAAAAACCAAAACCCAACTAAAAACCAAAACATAAATATACCGCAACTTAAATTTATGTTTAAATGATTACAGAGTATGAAAATGAAATCAAGAAATTGACTTCAAAATAAAATATAAGTCAACTAAAGGAAATGGTGAAAGAATGAACCATGAGAGCTGCATATCCTACTAGAAACACATGAATGGTTTTGGGAGTTACATATGAACATGGAGATGTCACTCATGAGATTTTTAAGTATGAAATAATAATGTTTCCAATTTTCATAAAGGAAAGGACAAAGCAGAAGAAATATTTTAGTACCAGTGACTACAATTCCTTAAATATTCAATGTGTTTCCATTTTATAAAATAGTAAAGCAAACAATACATTAATTCTGAAAGACTCATTGACTTAGTAGCTAATCATTTAACTGCACTATATAAAGTGACTGACCTTGAACCCTGACTCTGGGTTTCATGGCTTAGATTCTGATGCTTCCAATAACAGACACCCTTCTTCTCCCAAAGGAGCTGCAAGAGGAAGCTTCCACTATTATTGTGGATATATAGCAGTAGCTCCATTTTACAGTTTAAAAATTTAGAGAAGCAAACCTTATCAAAAAACATCTTATTTATAATATTTAACTTAAATTTCTTAATTAAACATCTCTTTTACTTTATAACAATATCACTTTACTTTATGGCAATGGGGCAACTGGTTTATCAGCTGAAACATGTTGTCTTCAGATGTAGTCCGTTATTTTTCCTTAATAACAGATGCTTTACTGAACAGATTTGAATTACATGAAAATATTGATTAAAAATGTTCTCCTGAGCTTAAAATAAATGATCACACATACTTTTTAAACTATGACTGGAAATATCTTGAGTAACCCCATATTTCTACTTATCACTACTAGTAGTCGTGCCTCTATTGAGTCGAAATGCAGAGATATAAAAGAGCTTTTTAAAAATAAAAATAACATTTTAAATTTCAGAAATATTTAAATTTTAAAAAAGGCAAGATCATTTTCAGGTGATACTTTATCTATTACTCTGGCTTCGAAACAAGTGGTTATGACAATAAAGCAACAAAGTATCAAGCAGTTCTCAAGTTACAAGAAGACTGTCTCCCTAAAGTTATTTTATAAATCACTTGCATGAAATGTTCATGCTTTTTCCAACATAAAAAAAAGCCTATGTAATTGTCAGGCTCTGACAAATGCTTTAAAAAGCGTCTTTAATTCATAATTCATTTTAATTCAGTAAGCATTCATTGAGCCTGTAAGTGCCATATTCTAAAATATGATTGTGACGGTCTCTGTTCTGCAGGAATTTGTGTACACAAAATGTTCTTCCCAACACTAGCATCCCAGGAAATGTTAAGGATGCTTCAATTCTTCAGTCAAAAAAGTTAGTTTAATGTGGCATAATCTCCATATTGGAACTCAATATTTAATTTGGCATATTACGGGCTGTATGAAAGAAGCTCAGCTCTTCACATACTTGATTAAGATGCAAAACTTTCTTCCATAAACATCCAAGCCCCTTTCTCACTGCGTCCATCCTTACCTAGCTTGACCCCACAAAGCATACATTTAGCTGCATTCTAATTAGCCTCCTAAATTACCTGCCCACCTCCCCTTCTCTTCTACCTAATTCAAGCTGCCAATTCCCTACTTGGGATTAATTTAGCCATCTGCTTTTTCTGCACTGCAGCTGCCAAGCGCTTCTGAGGCAAAGTACATAATGGTGTCAACTGGCGCTGTTGTTAATTAATGTTTTCTGGACTTAGTCAGGCACCTAATGACAATCAATAATTGCTTCAGTTGTTCCCCTCCTACTCTCTGCGGCAGCTGGAGTTACAAAACGTCCTGCACACGCATGAAAAAAATACGAAACTTGAAGGTGAGGATAGAGATTTTTATACCACACACACGCTTTTAGAAACTATTTGCACACTGCAGCTAAATAATTTGTATTTATTGTTTTACCGTTAAACTTTTAGTAATAATGACATATTAACCAATTTTAAACAGTCAATGGACTTCTGAAGACAATACAAAGTTTATTTCACAGATTGCACTCACACATTCTGTCTTGCTCATTTGGGCACATAATGTTCATTAGACTAGAAATCCTTTATATGCCTGCATCCAAGGCAGGAATCAATGCACAACCCTGAAATAATTTCAACAAATTAGGAGCCACTTCTTAACTCTCTTCTCTTCCCCCAAGTCACAGCATTATTCCTGTATCCTAGATCATTAAACATAATCTCACACTGAGAGAAATTTTTCTGTAAAGATGTATCTCCCTTTCTACTATTAGACAGAATACTTAATATCCTAGGCTGGAGCTGTACAATATGAGTAGTACTACTCAGTTAGAAGCCACCTTCTGGCAAGAAATGCTCCTATCTGTTTGGCCATTCACTTCTAGACCTAACTATATCTTTACCTATTCTAATTTTCTTTCTTCTTGTCACAGAGAATCCAATATTCACTCCTTTCCAAAACTAGCTCTATCACTTCCTCTCCTCCTTCCAATCTAAGATTCCAAGGCAGCTAGACATTCCCTTCCATGGGTTCTCATGAAATGCTGTGTGCACTTCTATGTTTACAGTGCCATTTAATTACGACTTCTCTCCATGTGTCTGCTGCACCCGTAGACTGCAGGTTCCTTGAGGGCAGGGCCATGACCCACTCATCTTCGTGTCCTTGGCGCAAAAGAGGCACACACTAAGATGCATTAGAAGCCTCAATCCACATGGATAACAAGATTCCCATGGAACAATGAATGGAGAGAGTTTCAAACATAAAGTAAAAGTTCAAATAATAACTGCCTACACTTACCAAGCACCAGGCTATTTTCTAAGATTGTTGGTATAGCAATGCATTTAGTGCTTACAGCGGCCCTGTAAGCTGAAGAATACTATTAACTTCATTTTACAGATGAGGAAACTGAGACACAGACTGAGTAACTCATGTAGGTCATGGAGCCTGGGAATCCCAGGCAGTCTGGTTCCACTCCTAATCATCACGCAGTGCTGCCTCAACTGCTACACACCTCCTAAACCCTAAACCTGTCACTTGAACACTTCTGGCAGCACAACTTAGAAACTACCTCAGTGCCCGTGTTCTGGTGGTAGTTTCTGTGGCTTGGGGTTGGGTACAGGCTGAGTTGGATCAGATGCTAAGGACAGCAGGAGTCCATGTGAACCTGCTGGTATAACCCCCCAGGGACTCAGTGTCTGGGTTAATTCCCTAGTTCCCCTACCTTCTTTTCATATGAGTCCTGAGAGCTAGTTTCCCTCTGCACTGTTAGAATCTACTGAGGGGTTTTAAAGATTTTTACTGCTGGCATTTGTAGAAAAACGACATACTGGCAAAAGGACAACCAGAATCAGATTATCCCTATAGTTTAATCGAGTCCCTAAGCTTTCTTAACTCTTTCTCTTTCTTCATGGGGAACTCCCTTTTTTACAATACACCTAGTATTGTAAGGCAAAAGTAATCAGAACTAAAGGAATAATCACCAACATTTCAGAGAAAAAGCAAACCAATATTACTCCCCCATTCACACCACAGGGGAGGTGGCTACCATACTGTCTACTCAAACCTCTTTCCATGCAGGATTAGGAGAGGAAGAGAGACTGCCTTTCCTAGAATTTAAATTATGGCAAACATAACTCTCCTTAATTAAACCCAGAAGGAAACATTATGCTGTTATTGATAATCGAACTAAAATTCTTTCACAGAAATGTCATTTCTTCTTTCATAAATTCATTAAAAAAATGCATTACTTTTCAGAAAAATAAGCCAAATGAATACCATTTTTACATACTGGCTTTTTTGCTCTTCTCCTTTAAACCTTTATATGTTCAACTTTCCCCTCTCACTGACTTTATTGTTTCCATTTCTTCTCATTTTTCTATTCTTTAAATTTAGTGCACACATCTTCCACCTCTGAATTCACCTCTACACAATCCCTCCATCCTGCAAATGCCCTCATTTTTAATTGCATTTAATTCTCTCAACACCCCTTTATTGGGGTAAGCAAAGAAATGTGTCTTACGATGGTAAAGCATCTTTGATCTTCATGTGGGAAATGTCATTGTAGAGCGCAATGGAGACAACCTCTTCCATGGGGCAGATGAGGCCATACTCCTCACACCCATTTTCAATAACCAGGGGATCGGACTTATGAGGGTCAAACATGATGTTGTTAGGAGTGACAATCATGACACCTCCAACCACACCCTGCAGGAGAAAGGGACAGGACAGAATCACTTCAGGCAAACATGCTTTCAGCAACCACCACAGAAGCTTTAATTAACTTACACTGCTATGCCACTGACTTTGTGAACCACAGTTGCCTACGCCATCACTTGCTGTCTCTGAGTGCTAAAAAAACAAGCTGAAGAAATGCAATGATGGGTGCTCAGTGGCGAGGCAGGCAAAATGGACTTGTGTCCCTGTGGAAATCACCTGAGCCTGGTCCTAGTACAGCTGCCACAACAGTACAACTGCGGTGTGATCCCAGTTCCCACATGCACATCTCAGATTCCCTAGTTCTCCGTAAAATGAGAGTGGCTCTCCCAAGTGCTTTTTTGATCAAGAGCATGGTGCTTTTCAATTCACTTAGCAAGTCTTTACCACATGTCTAACAAGTGCATGGTCCATGCTAAGGGAACAGCTGTCTCAGGGTCATGGTGCCAAAGAGTAGTCCCAGTATTTTTCTCTAAAATACTTAGGAAGCCCACATCCAGCCAAATTCAACATAAATAAAAATATATAATTGTTGCAGCCAGAGCAAATATAGCTGAACTATGGAAATTAAAATAAAAAAGCAGTAGCCTGGTGTGATCTTAAAGTCTGAAGCTTGGTCAAATTATGTTATATAACTTAACAGCCACAGGGATATTGGCTACCATGGATGGCAAGATACAGATAATGCCCATTAGGTAAATAATTTATTTTGGTATTCTTAATGAGTCTAGCGATCATCTTTCTGAAAAGTTTTGTATTTCAGGCATTACTTATTTGCAAAAGTTACAAATGTACATCAATAACATATTTTCCTATTATTTCGAACCTGATATGAAGTCTCTAGTATAATCACAGAAAATCACTTTGTATCAACATAGCTCCTTCTTCAGAGGCTCACTGAAAGCTGGATTAGTTCTTTGTAAAAAACAAAACAAAACAAAACAAACAAACAAGAAAAAACCACCAAGAATCAAAAAACACCAACAATAAAAAACATGACACAGCAGACTTTATTTTTAATACTAGCATCACCAATAGGAAACACAGGTTGAGAACTTACCATTTTCCAGATTAGGTGCTAAACTCTTTACATGAATTATCTCTTTCAATTACCATATCCTATTAGTTAAATTTATTATTGTTTCTTATTTCATAGATGAGGAAAGTAGAAACTTAGAAAATTTAAATACCTTGCCCATGGTCTCAGAGCTAGTGGGTAGTGGAGTTGGAATTTAAATTCAGTGAGTCTGACCCCAGTGTTTGCTGTTAAACAGCAAACTATCTCTCTAACAATTTATAGGTCAAGAATTGAAAGATAAAATGATACATCCAAGGTCACAAAGAATCACACATCCACTCAATGATCACGTTCAATAAATAAAATGCCTGGCATCTAACAGAGTAAAACTAATGGATGCTATCAAATCTGAAACTGAAACTTTGTGTAAGATATTTTAATGTGACCTCCCTTCCAGTAACTTGTAACCTGGTTTAGTTTCCCATAGATTCCAGGAAAAGGAAACAAATTACATTGCCATATACCTTTCCATCCGTGAAGTATCGACAATTCATTTTTAGAAATTTCACCACGCCTGGCTCATCTTCTTCAGAATTAGATGATAAGACTCTTTCAATGGGTTTTAAGGCCTTTCGTGCCAAGTCAGCATCCTTGTGAAAGCAAAAGTTTCCAAACTCAAATAAAAGCATTGTTTCAAAACAAATTATGTGTATAAATCAAGACACATAAGTTCCCAGTAAGTATATTGTTTCTATTTATCATGACATTAAAAAAAGCAAATGTCTGTTGTCTTTCAAAAATATCACAAATACAACAATAGGTATCCAAATCAAACTAATGCTTTTTTAAGAAACAAAAGCATATGTATAAACCCATAAAAGTGTAAAGACATTTCATATCTTTAGAAAGCAACCTAAATAAAAGAATTCATATTAGACTCATGATTAAAATTCTCTAGAAAAAGAAAGGGTTCAAATAAACTATTCATCTCATTAGGAGTTTTACTTCGTACCTTTACACATTACTACACATTTTTGCCTTTGAGAACTTAAATATGAACATGTTTCTCTTGCAGAGGATGCATTCTCTCAACTAATGACAGATTACCTAAGTCCACCGCTTTGTGGGGGGGGACTTCAGACATAATTTTGTGAAAAATAACAGGTTGAATTGTACAACTCAAAATCTTTTTTATTTATTTATTTATTTATTTTGTCTTTTTTCGTGTCCGGCAACGGATCGCAACCCTCAGTGTTGCGCCCATACCGGACCGGGACCGGCAACGGGATTGCAGCCCTCCGTGCTGCGCCCACACCTCGCTCAGCCAGTGAGCGGCCAGTCTGTATGTGGGATCCGAACCCTCAGCGGGAGCGCTGCCGCGCTCCCAAGCGGCGCACTGTAGCAGTGCGCCACCAGGCCGGCCCACAACTCAAAATCTTTTTGATAAAAATGAACTTCAGTGCATGAAGTGCATAACATACATACAGGCAGTTTATCATATTCTGCATCTGATGATGAAGGAGAGACAGTAGCACCAGGACTGGATGAGGATAGCCTTAAAGTACTGGACGGAAAGTTGGCATCTGGCACAAAAAGGACCTAAGAGTGGGAAAGAGGAGCTGGGTGAATACCAAGAATCAGGCAAACCACTAATAAGTGTTTAGAGAAGTCATTCTCTGCACTGTGTCATGCTCAGTGCATGACTAAGACCTAGTTGGCTTTCACAGATCTCATAAGCAACTTGAGGTCTTCTACACTAATCCATGAAATGATACTCAGCAATATCAATGTGTTTACGTCAAAGGGTATGGAACACATCTGTAGATACTACAGGGGGTCAAATAAAGGGGAGAGCAGGTGGTGAGTATTCTGGGAAGGCCATGTGAAGCCTTGAAGAGTAAATGGGAATTGGATGTGAGGGAAAGGAGAGACTTCCAGGAAAGGGGACGAACAGTATAAGGGAATCAAGGAGAAAGAAGCATGGCATGCTTCTAAACATAATACCTGTGTCAGGTAGACATGGAACAAATCCAGGCTTGCTAACTCCTAGCAGGCCCTGAATGCTAAAGTAGTAGGTCCTCATATGATAAAGTATACAAGGTAATATTAATACAATAATCCCAATACTTTCTCTTCCATCAATGTCTGGATCATCTAAAAAATAAAAATTCCCCAACAAATTGTACAAAATAGCTTCCTTCTACAAAATATTCTGGTTCCTGAAATTTAGTGCACACATCTTCCACCTCTGAATTTATTATGATCCTGTTGTTCAACACTCTTTTCATGAGACATGCTACATTTTGGCATATATCAAATATAAACTTAAAATGATGACCTTTAATGTTATAAAACATAATTAAAAGCTAATTATATAACAACTGATCACTGATCAATATTGTTATTCAGTGTTTCCCATCCTTCCAGTCATATTTCTGTTTTAACTTTAGTTATTTAAACCTCACTTCAATCCAGAAAATATCTGAGGCAAGAACAATAGACACATTAAGATAAAGGTGGGAAAATCAAAGCTAAGGTAATATAAGGTAAGGACTGATTACTACTGAAAATATATGCTCCAAAATTACTAAACACTCATTGAGAGTTGGCCCATAAAACTGGCTCTGAGTTTCCATATAACCCATGCAGAAAGACAGACATCTTTGGTTAGCAGAATTCAATTTCCATGATAAAAACAAACCAGTTTCCCAGAAATACAAGTATTTTCTCATGGAGTCTCATAAAAAAGGATATCCTAGACTGAACTATTTGTCCTCAGTGATGTACTAACAGTAAATACAATAAATTTAAAAAAATTTTTCTTTATAACATCTTCAATACAGGTCAACAGCAAATGACAAAGTTTAGAGTTCTGTAAAAGCAGTTTAGAAAGGACTATAATTATGTGGTTTTGATATACAGCTCTCTTATTTACCTTACATAGCTAAACTAAAGGAATGAATGGATTGCATTTTTCCTAAGCAATTCTCCATTAATATTATTGTCTGTACCTGAACTCTTGAAAAATACCAGGCAACACAGATTGAGATTCTACTGTCTGACACATTCCAAATGCTGAATTGAAGGGATAATTCTTATGCTTAAACAGTTAACTGCACTGTAGATAGAGGTGACATTTAAAAGCTGGGAATCTCAGCCAGAACACATACTACCTCAAGAGGGAAATGAGTTCCCGGATCATAGGCAGGTGTCAAGTTTTCCTACTGCGTTTAGAAAATAATTCTGGGTTTGCTCCAACACATAGGCAAATGGAAATTTGAGGTCCTTCACTTCCTTCACTATAAAGCAAAGCTATCATTTTAGCCTAGAAAAAAAATTTTAAGCACATGTAGCCAAGGTGTCCCATGAATATAAAAACATCTTAAAATATTATATATCAACAAGGCAGCTTTAGAATGTGCTCAAGATAAATTACTTATAAAAGTAAATTGTTTAAACATGATTTCAAATTTGATATATGTAAGTAGCAGAACTAATGGCCCAACTCAGGACATACTAAAAATATTTTAAGCCTCAGTAATTTTTTTTTAAGTTTGTCTGATTTTGTTTTCTGTCTTTTTTTTTTTTTTTTTGAATGGTAAGGGGATCACAACCCTCAGCTCGGTGCTGTCCACACCACGCTCAGCCAGTGAGCACACCGGCCATCCCTATATAGGATCCGAACCCATGGCCTCGGCGCTATCAGCACTGCACTCTACCGAGTGAGCCATGGGGCCGGCCCTGTTTTCTGTCTTTTGAAGTAACAAAAAGTCTAGAGTAAGATCTTAGTTTAATAAGCTCCTAGGTACCCTCCTCTGAACAAGTAGTCACTGACCCAGCCAGACCAGTTTTCTACTTCAAGGTGATCATCAAATCAAACCTAGGAAGGCGAGTCTCAAATGTTCTGGAACCAAAGCAGATCAAACTGGTTATTATTAATCAGATCTACCGAGATGAGAGGGATACCCACCCCTCCAGGAACCAAGATAGAGTATTTAAAAATCCTTCACAGCAAAAGGTCATCTTCAGATTTTGAAATCCCTTCAGTCTATTTCACTCTTCTCAATTCCTCATTTTTGCCAGCAAAAATCACCGGTTTAGAGGGGTTCTGGGACAGCACTTAACTGTTTAGTTCTCTAAGGGCTAGACACCACAAACAATAAAGGCTAGAAGAGACATCTGACATACATGGCCCAACCCCTAATTTCAGAGATTAGGAAACAGAAATCCACAATAGGAAGTTACTTGTCCAAGTCATGTAGCTAATACATGGCCAGACAGAAACAAAGCTTTGGGGCTCCTATTTCTGATATTTTTACCATTACAGTAGACATATTAAAACAGTCCTTATACTCCTATTGGCTACTGAACCTTAATCTAGTACCAATCAACTATTTTGTTTATGGACACAGTATAAGGAATCACCCTAAGTTACTTTACTAAGTTCCAGTGACTACAGTCTTCAGCCTGGAATTAGTAAATATAAGCCTAGGCTCTCTGCTATAGGTCAGTTACACACTATGCAGCAATACCCCAAATTAGAAGATAAGCCCAACAACGAAAGAGATTAAGTTCTGTCTGTTACTTTTCCTAGAGATGAAAATTTATTGTTTTGAAAAGTTTTAATGCAGGTTTCCCCCCACTTACCTGGTACTGGCAGTACACTAATTTCTCCTTTCAATAAGAACATAAATACAAAAACCAGTACAGTACAAAATGGCCAACTTGTGGCCATACAGGCCTCATGTGTTGCTTTTGAAAAAAATGCAAAGAAGAATATCATCACTACCCAAATGAAGTCGTGCTTAAAAGTAGCATTATCTTTCCTGAAAGAATGAAATGTCACTATAACGTAGAGATGCAGGAAGATGGTCTAGTAAGTCAACAATGAAACCCAAATATGCTCATGGCAACCAAACAATTCTGTGGCTGGGACTGGATACTTAACCTCAGCTAAGTTCCTTCAGTGACTGAGACATTTTAATTTATTGACTGAATGTCATTTTATAGTGGAGACACAAGAATATCTCATCACGTAGAGGGCACTAAAAACGACTTACTGGATTAAACTAGGGTAGCAAAATTACACAGTTTGTCAATTTCATTCAGTCTGACAAAGTACTAAAAACCTGGAAAAAACTGGGGTGGCGTTTTGTTGACGGTCCTGCTGAATGTCTCTGTCTTTGGCCAGACTGGCCATTCTTGTCATAGCATCAAATTGAAACAAAAATGACAAAAATTCTGCGTAATTTAAAACAAAACAATGGCCATAATGTACCCCAGACGAGTGGACTAAATTGAAACTTTCAATTCTGCATTAAACGTTCTAAGAATGCCTGTGTTATATTTGACAGGGAAAAAAAAGTCACATTAATTTAGAACTTTTCTTGATGCCCTAGGAAACACCTACTATACTACATAAACTAATGATACTTTAATGCGTTAATCATTTGCAAAGTATTCATCTCTGAACAGTTTATAAGTACTAGGATGCTTTCGGAATTCTTGGTTCTAAAGGAGAGGAAAGACTGAACCAATGCACATTAATGATGATAATCCTGTGACACCCAGAGTGAGGCATCAAAAAACAGCAATATAAGATAAACGGACAATTCTAAAGTCATATGCAACAAGAAAATAATTACCTGGCCTGGAACAATAGTATGTGTGAAAAGTTTATTCAGTTCCACTAATTTATTGGGAGTGATGTTAAACTTCAGTGCTATGGAGTTCAAGGTGTCCTGGCTTCCAGCCTAGAATAATAATTAAAAAAACCAGATTCAATACATAAAGCAAAAAAAAAAAAATTCCTTTAGATAGACAACACTAATCTGTTCATGATACAAGTGAATGAAAAAGTAATAGTTTCACCCAGATTTACTATGAAACAGAGTGGATATGTTCTCAATTCTTAATAAAATCATGTAAAAGCAAGGTCTTAAGTGTAATTCATTTCTGGGATTCCTCATCTTCATGTTTCACTGTCCACTAATAGATTTCTAATTGTACTTTGGCACAATTTAGGTGTATGGAGTAGAGGTCCATGAGGTATACAGCACAACACTGTAATAAGAAAAGAAATAAAACATACACACGGTACCCATCCACAGGGGAAGTGGGGCTACTACTTCTCTTACAATTTTCTATTTGCCTGTCTCTTCACTGCACTGTAAGTTCCTGGACAGTGGCCTGTTAATGGCTGTTTTCTGCATCACTTAGCACAGTGCCTGACACATAAAGGGCACTCAAATAGTTGGCAAATGAATACTGTGGATGCAAGGAAATCTGAAAGAAATTGGGATTGTCTACCAATAATTGTTCACTGTCATTAAAGTGACAAGTTTCCATGGTCAGCCAAATTAGTGCTATTCTCTAAATCTATATAAAACTTGTGACATATGTTCTAGGTGTATACTTTTCCTTCCTTCTGTAATAGAGGAGAAACAGCAATAGAGGGCAGTGAGAAGATGAGAACCATCATAGCAAGAAAGCTTCCCCCAGAAAGAAGCTGGCTGCTTGTGGTCATGTCAATAGGACACGATGGACTCCCTGTCCAGAGTCACTGGATGGACTAACTAGTACGAGGTCACTCTGATGAATACCACCGATGGAAGTTTCCATCTATTGCCCCGGGTCCAGACTGGTGGCTGATCATGTAAGCAGAATTGGCTCCACTAGGCGAGCCTTGAATTATGTGGAGATTTGAAGAGGCTGAACTAGGATGTGGACCAGTGAAAAGGTAGAGATGTAGAAGTATAATTAAATCCACCACTGCCCTCAGTATCAAAAACCCACCAACTAGATAAACTGTCTCAGACTAATCAAAGGTTATAATTATAGATTACAGTGAAACAGCTTCAAAGCCTTTCTAGAACAAATTAGGATATAAATATATATATATATATTTAAGAATCATTGAAAACTTAAGTAAACATATATGCCCCTACCTCTACACTGGGCAAAATCATCTCCATAAAAAACAAACCAAAAAAGAGTTAAAAATTTTTTTTTCTAATATTAGACATTTATGTAATACATTCAAATACTGAGGTTTTCAAGATTTGGAGAAAGTACAAGACACAGGTTGAGAATGCAGATTCTAAAGCCAGACTCCTAGATTTGAATTCCAGATCTGCCACTTGCTAGCTATATGACCTTTGGCCATTTGCTTAACTTCTGCGTGTCTTGTTCATCCATCAAATACAGATAACTGTAATATCTGCATTATAGCACTTACTTCACAGTAATTGATCAATAAATTTGCTTCATAGTTTTATAAATAAAGCTTGTAATGGGGTTCAGGGAAAGAGAAAAACTTCAACAATCTGGAGTTACTACATGAGGATAAAACATACAGAATTAGGCCACAGACTCTAAGAGGTATGCTAGTATCAGTAAATGCTTGAAACTAAATCAGAATGCTTGAACGTCCACAACTCAGGAGCAATATAAGCTGTAGTGGACTGAATCATATCCCCCCCAAACTCATTGAAGCTTGAATTGTATCTCCCATGTTTTACATATTAGAAACTTAGTCCCCACTGTGACTGTTAAGAGAGTGGGAGGGCCGAACCCGTGGCTCACTCAGGAGAGTGTGGCGCTGGGAGCGCAGCAGCGCTCCCGCTGCACGAGGATGACCGGTGCGCTCACAGCGCTCACTGGCTGAGCGCGGTGCAGCCGGTCTCAAAAAAAAAAAAGAGAGTGGGAAACCCTATTATGGTAATTGAAAGTTGAAGCCTTGAAGAGGTAATTGGATTGTAGGACCATGCGGTAGCGAATGGATTAAAAATAGTGGTCAGGGGTATGGTTCTGAGGGCTTTAAAAAAAGAGGAGAGTCTGTCTCTCTCTCTCTCTCTCTCTCTTGCTCTCTGCTTCTACCATCTTGCAATGTGAGATCTATAAGCAATAAATGTCATTTTTCTTTATAAATCAACCAGTTTCAGGCATTTTATTATAAGCAACATAAACGGAATACAGAAAATTGGTACCAGAGAAGTGGGGTGTTGCTTATAACAAATACTTGAAAATGTGGAGACAGCTTTGGAACTGGGTGTTGAGGAAAGGTTGGAGGAGTTTGGAGAACTCAGAAGAAGCCAAAAAGACAAGCAAATATTTGGACTGTCTTAGAGACTGGTTATGTGGTGGTGAGCAGAATGCTGATAGAAATATGGACAGTAAAGACCATTCTAAAGAGGTCTCAGAAATAAGGAGGAGTTTATTGGAAACTGGAGCAAAGATCACCCTTGCCGTGAACTGGCAAAGAACTTGGCTGCATTTTGTCCATGCCCTAGGACTTTGTGGAAGTTGGAACTTAGGAGTTGTGAACCAGAGTACTTGGCAGAAAAAATTTCTAAGCAGCAAAGCATTACGGAAGTTGCATGGCTACTTGTAACAGCCTATGCTGAGTTATGGTGGCAAATGTATGACATAAAGCCAGAATTTAAAAGGGAAGCAGAGTGCAAAAATTTAGAGAATTTGCAGCCTGGCCAAGTGGTACAGAAGCAGAGAGTATGCAATGGTGCAGCCCAGCAACTATTAGCTAAGAAGATTAGTACAAAAGAAACGGATTAGGGGCCGGAACGGTGGCGCACTGTTACAGTGCGCCGCTTGGGAGCGTGGCGGCACTCCCGCCGAGGGTTCGGATCCCACATACAGACCGGTTCCCACTCACTGGCTGAGCGAGGTGCGGGTGCAACACCAAGGGTTGCGATCCCATTGCCGGTCCCGGTCCGGTATGGGCGCGACACCGAGGGTTGCGATCCGTTGCCGGACACGAAAAAAGACAAAAAGGAAAAAAAAAAAGAAACGGATTATCAAGAGAAGGAGAAAAAGGCCCTGAAGGCATTGCAGAAGCCTCTGGGCCCAACTCTTCCACTTCAGGCCCATATGCCTAGGGAGACAGAATGGTCTTGGGGAACAGGCCTGAGGTGCCCTCCACGGGCTCACTGCCCAGGACCACCTTGGGAAGCTGGTTCCAGCACCAGCACCCCAACTGCTTTGACTGTTGCAGCCATCGCTAAATTGGCCCCAGGTGTGGCTGGACCCACGGGTTTAAAAGACACAAGCTGGAAGCCTTGGTGGCATTCATGTGGTGTTAGGTCTGCAGGCTTGCGGAATGCTAGAGCTGTGGAGGCCTGGGAACCTCCACCCTTATTTCACAGGATGTATGGAAAAGTCTGGGGATCCAGGAAGAGATCTGTTGCAGGGGTGGAGTCACCGCAGACAGCCTTTGCTAGAGCAATGTCGAGTGGAAACGTGGAGTTGGAGTTGCAGCAGAGAAATCCCATCAGCACCATGCCTAGTGGAGCCGTGAGAGTGGGACCACCATGGAGACCCCAGACCTTAGGAGCTACCAGCGTGCAACGCCAGCCTGCAAGATCTAAAGCATCACCTGAGACCAGGAAAGCCATAGGAATGGAGCTGCCGGAGGACTTGGGGACCCAACCCCCACGCCAGCGTGCAGAGGACGTTGAACATTGAATCAAGTTACCAGATTCACCAGCTTTGAGATTTAATGCCTGCCCTGCTGGGTTTTGGACTTGCTTGGGACCTGCTACTCCTTTCTTTTGGCCTATTTCTCCCTTTTGGAATGGGAATATGTACCCTATGTTTGTCCCACCATTGTATCTTGGAAGTAGATAACTTGTATTGATTTCACAGATGGGACTTTGAACTTTGGACTTTTGAGTTGAAACGAGTTAAGACTTTGGGGATAAAATGAATGCATTTGTATGTGAAAAGGACAAAAGTTTTGGGGGGCCAGGGGCAGAATGTAGTGGATTGAATTATGTCTACCCAAAACTCATTGAAGTTTGAATTGTATCCCCCATGTTTTATGTATTAGAAACTTAGCCCCCACTGTAACTGTTAAGAGGGTGGAAAATCCTATTATGGTAATTGAAAGTTGGAGCCTTGAAGAGGTGATTGGATTGTAGGACTGTGCAGTAGTGAATGGATTAAAAATGGGGGTCAGGGGTGTGGTTCTGAGGGCTTTAAAAGAAGAGGAGAGTCTGTCTGTCTCTCTTTCTCTCTCTTGCTCTCTCTGCTTCCACCACCTTGCAATGTGAGACCCCTGGGTCACTGCTGCCACCACCAGATGGACTTTGGACTCCCCAGCCTGAGAAACTGTAAGCAATAAATGTCATTTTTCCTTATAAATCACCCAGTTTCAGGTATTTTATTATAAGCAACATAAACAGACTAATACATAAGCAATCTAGTAACTGCGAGCAGGTCCTCTATACACAAAATTATGTCACCTTTTACTTCCAATGACAAATACAAAAGTAGCTTGCCAAATAAAAGTAATCTACATAACATATAAATCAAACAAATGGGCATATCTGCATTACTAATTTGATTACTTATTTCATTTATTAATTAATTTGGGGGTTGATTTTTACTCAGTGAATTGCTTAGTATACACTTATATGAAGCAACTCAGCAAACAGTGCTTCTCGATTCTTTGGAGGGGCTTATGAATCATACTGCTAATATTGTTAGTTATTAATAATAAACAATTTAACCCAACACTTCATGAGTGTCTGTTTTGAGATAAGAATTGCACTGTGTGTATGAGGATCAACAACACATTTTAGACAGTGGTAATGAGCAATATAATCACCCCAAATCCTTTCTGAAAATGACAGGGTCTATAAATGCCACAAAGATGCCTAGATATGTTCACAGAGCACTGGGCATGAAACGCCTGTGCCAGAGCTCTTCAATGTAACTCTACAGAAGCTTGGAGAAGATGCGGCATTCCAAAAGAAACACAAGGGAAGGGTCAGGTCTTGCTGCTTCTGCTTGCCTTATACAGTGTCTGATATGGCATACAAATAATGAGCATAAAATAAGTACACATTAGGAAAACACAACCAGGCAATGGCAACAGCACTTAATGTCTTCTTAGAAGTCAAGGAGATGCTAAACACCAATGTCAAGGGTTCAGATCCCTGTACTGGCCAGCCACCAAAAAGTAAATTAAATAAATAAAATAAAATAAGTCAAAGAGAACACTCCTCAAAATTGCTATTTCATGAGTTAAAATAGATCGGTAACGAGTACCCACTTTGTGCCAAGCCTAGGATAAAATATAACTCCTGGCCTCTAGGAGCTCATGGTGCAGTGGGAGAGATGAGTACATGACATACAGAGCGGAGTTGTAGTGACAGACACATGAATTAAGGCATGAGGTAGATATTAAAATAACAATCACACCAATGAATCAATAATGTTAAACTGAGACAAATTATATAAAGGAACAAGATTCTGTAAGAGTGTAAAATGAAGTGATGTGGCATAGACTTACTGGATTATCACAGAAGGTAGGAATGAATGTGGAGAATAAAGGAAGAAGCTGGCTAACTGCCAAAGAGAGAGAGAGAGAGAGAGAGAGAGAGAGAGAGAGAGAGAGAGAGAGAGAGAGAGAGAGAGAGAGAGAGAGAGAGAAAAGGAAGAAGATGTCAAGGATAAGGGTCTGGTTTATGCATGTATGGATGATGGAGCCATTTATTCTTGAAAAAAAACCAAGCATAGAGGATGAAGTAGACATGTAGAGTAGGAGACTAAATATATGGCTTTAGAACTCAGAAAGGATGTCAGGGATGGAGGCTTAAAATTGGTAGTCACTGCCATATCAAAGGTAATTCATCAGTTTGTTTGGAGGTTCTAGCAGGGGAACACAGCTACTAGTACACCCTTGACCTCAAAACAGTCCTCATCTATCAAGGAAGGTTCTCCTTTTTAAATCACCTTCCAGGGGGATGCAAATGGAAGGGTAAGAGAAGAAGGGGATACCTGCCTAGCCAGCCTGATCAGCTTAATCAATGCTGGCGTTCAATGGGGTGACAGATGGTGCAGCCAGGTCACCCTCATATCCTCAAGTCATTGGTTTACACGAGATTGGCAGGGGGAGAAAAATTGGAGGGAAAAGAAATGACCTAGAACAGGTCTTCAGAAGGTTCATTACTTAATGAGCACACAAGAGGAATGCACCTAAAGGTCAGGATGTGTAGTCTCTGTGTGTGTGGGGGGGGGGGGGG